CAATTGCCACTCGATGTTGGAAGTTATTTCATTTTCTTCAAAAAAACACGTCAAACTGATTGTCTAACTCCAACTCCTTAAAAAAAATTTTCAAAACCAGATTTTGAATTTAATATTTTTTTCATTTGCCTTACAATGATTATTCAATCTAGTAATCTTAAAATTCCTATATATCAATATATAAGTATATGAAAACATATATAAAAGGATAACACATATATATAAGTATATATACATATTTATTTACATATATATAACTAGGGTTTAAGACAATTAATTGTTACGAGGCATTACGGTATTTTCAGCTTTGATTAGTTTTTGGTTCAGTTTTTCAATATTCCGTAACGTATTTTTATAACCAATTTTTTAATTTATTTATATACAAAATTTTTAACTACTTTATAATTCAATTTTATCTTATAGGGAAAATGCTTTTTTTTCGGTAATCCTTTACGATTTTCAAAGTAGTATGTTAACAACTATTGGTTGTATCATATGTCCTACTTCATTGGATCTATTGGTTGTATCATATAGACTATTTCATTGGATCCTTTATTATTTTATGACAATATAGAGCGCAATGTAGAAGACTTCATTTTTGTTAAAGATCAAATCTATCTTAGTTGAATACGTAGCAGAAAAAACCGAAGAACGAAAGGAGCAAGAAGTTTTATTTTACTGAAGAGGTATCAGAATCATCTCAGTGTCAAGTAATTTCGACATCATGCCATTAGTAACATGAAGAACGACTGTGACGAACGCCACCGAGTTAGTTCAGCCAGTCGGTAGCAGTGCAATGTCTTACTAAGCGATGGCAGGGTTAGGGTTAGTTTTCTGTACGAAACTCAAAAACCATCATAAGCGTATGATGCGGGGCATGCATATTTTGCAAATGCGTTGTGTAGTGTGGCTAGCACAGTCTATGTGGCAGAAATATTGAATTATAAGTATAAAATAATATGTAAGTACAATTGACAGAGCCGCATTATAAAAAAAAAGATAAAAAACCTGTTGGGACAGCCAAAATTTTCCCCAAATTATTCTATGCTATCACAAAAAAACAACGGCCCTTAATTTCTTAGCGGAGAAATCAACAATTGATGCAATTCACAACCTTCTGCAACTGCAAAAGAAGTACCTCACAACTATCACACATTTTTGTAGACCTTGGAAAAACATTTGATCAAGTTCCCCGTGAAGCAATCAGGTGGAGTCTACGTCGACAACTCGTTCCAGAAAATCTTGTTCGACTTGTGATGGAAATGTATACGAATACTAAGACTCGTCAGCACAACAGTTGGAAACACAGATGCATTTGACATCGGCGTTGGAGTTCACCAAGGCATGATTTTCAGTTCACTGTTATTTAAAACTTGGTGAAAGAAATCACAAAACTGATACACGCTGGTGACATTTGGAATCTAATATATGCTGATGATATCACAAACGTTGTTCAAAAATAATTGGTAATTTATCTAGTGTCCAATTTTGTTTTTCCTGCTTGCATCAATCCACAACAATAAATTCGAAATAGCAATGTTTTTGAAGCCATTAAGGTAGAGAAAGTCAAATCGTTTCAATATCTAAGGAATGTTCTGGTTTGTACTGGAACAGCTGAAGCTGCGGTTCAAGCACGCATACATGCAGCCTGGAATAAATGGCATCTTCTTGTGACATCCCACTGCCACATCAAATTTACCGAAATCCTGCGTCGTGCTGGTTTAGATGATATAAAGCACGAATGCCAGCAAGACCGTCTGCGGTGGTTTGGTCAAGTCAAACGAAGTGGAAACAGTGCCATAACTTTTCTTGCAGATGTTGAAGTACCTGGCACACGCAAACAATCGAGCAAGACATGAAAGCTCTAAATATATTGAAATGGATACAACTGATCGTCTAATTTGGCGCCAAAAAAATTGGTGGCAAAGAAAACAACGTCCTACCTCGGGGGTACTTGGCATCTGGACGCTAAACGAAGATTGATTCATTGATATTATCTAATTTCTACTATATATTTTTTTTAATTTGTTGACCAACGATGCTTTTAACTTAAAAATCAGCGAGGAGGGTTTTAAATTACGTGGAAAAAAAAACATGAAACATATATACCGTGATGGCTCAATGGCGCCTGGTCTTGCTACTGCAATGACTGGGTTCGAATAGAAAGAGATCCCCACCAATCATATGCAATGTGCATGATGCGTGGTTTTCACGCGTATTCATATACGCTGTGTGTGTGTTTGTAAATGAAACCTCTGAAGCAAGCGCAAAAAAGAGAGAGTGTAACCTTTAAAAAAAGGAAAATACTCAAATAAAAAATTTCTTGTTGCAGTCAGGGCCTATTTTTTATATGCAGTTTGAGCATTACATATTTTCAAAATAACCAAGTGTTTTCAGAAAATAGCGAAAAAAGCTAATTCACAAATTCTGCAAAAAACAATGAATATATGAAACCACTTTAATGGAAACCAGTGAACAGTTTTTACGTACCTCTCCACAAAATGGATCATCGACTTCCACAAAATGTTGACTCAATAGAGACACCGGACTATCAGTTAGATAAGTTAACATAACTTTACAAGCATTCACGACATAATGATTCTGAAATTGGTTGAAATTTAATTTTTTAATTTAACTCAATTCAATTTTTTAAATGGCAAAAGCATACATTTACACTTGTACACACACACACACACCGTGAAGCAATCAGGTGGAGTCTACGTCGACAGCTCATTCCAGAATATCTTGTTCGACTTGTGATGGAAATGTAGAGAAAGTCACATCGTTTCAATATCTAAGGAATGTTCTGGTTTGTACTGGAACAGCTGAAGCTGCAGTTCAAGCACGCAGCCTGGAATAAATGGCATCTTCTTGTGACATCCCACTACCACATCAAATTTACCGAAATCCTGCGTCGTGCTGGTTTAGATGGTATAAAGCACGAATGCCAGCAAGACCGTCTGCGGTGGTTTGGTCAAGTCAAACGAAGTGGAAACAGCGCCATAACTTTTCTTGCAGATGTTGAAGTACCTGGCACACGCAAACAATCGAGCAAAACATGAAAGCTCTAAATATAAATGAAATGGATACAACTGATCGTCTAATTTGGCGCCAAAAAAATTTGTGGCAAAGAAAACAACGTCCTACCTCGGGGGTACTTGGCATCTGGACGCTAAACGAAGATTGATTCATTGATATTATCTAATTTCTACTATATATTTTTTATTTTTTTGACCAACGATGCTTTTAACTTAAAAATCGGCAAGGAGGGTTTTAAATTACGTGAAAAAAAAACATGAAACATATATACCGTGATGGCTCGGAAGTCTGATTAGCTCAGGTTGTAAATGTGATGAGAAGGATAGCTATGGCAAAAGATGCATATTCTAAAAAGAAAAACATCTTCACCAAAAGTAAAATCAGAATATCAACAAAAATTAAAAATTTTAGTGCTACATTGTTAGTATAGATTGTTACGGCTATGAGTTCAGGAAAATTTAAAAAAAAAATAGAAAAACAAGATTAATGCTGCTCATATGGTTTTGAGAAAAATTATAAAAATTAATTTGACTCTCTCATACCTCCAATGATGTATCAAAATAGTCTGGTTATAAAAAGAGGAAATTACTAGTAAAAATGCGAAAGTTTTTTGTTCACACCATGCGGAAGGAAGGAAAAAAATCAAACAATAATTATAAAGATTGTAGGGAAAAGAGATTGCGGTCAACAACGAATAACATTCGTAGTCACTTGTTGAATATCACCGCATTTAAATCAATCAATCAATCTTCGTTTAGCGTCCAGAGACCCAGTTTCCCGAGGTTGGACGTTGTTTTCTTTGCCATCAACTTATTGCGCCAAATTAGACGATCAGTGGTATCCATTTCATTTAAATTTAGAGCTTTCATGTCTTGCTCGATTGTTTGCTACCATGACTTTTTTGGACGGCCTTTGGGACGTGTCCAAAGTTCTTCAACATCTGCAAGAGAAGTTATGGCACTGTTCCTACTTCGTTTGACATGACCAAACCACCGCAGATGGTGTTGCCGGCATTCGTCCTTTATATTATCTAAACCAGCACCGCAGGATTTCGGTAGATTTGATGTGTTCCTTCAGACTAATTCGTTGCATCCATCGGAGCGTTTTCATGTCGGTTCGTTGAAGTTGCTGTTTCAGTTTGGTTGTCATTAGTTTTAACAACTACGAAGTGTTAAAGATCAGGTTTTGTGGAAGTCTACGGTCGCCAATGTCCTGAAAGAATAAGACACAAGAAAGAAAGGAGGAAAATCATGAAAACAAAATAAAACTGTTATTATCCAAATTTATCATGCAGATAGGGCTTATTTTAAGTTTTCACAAATTATCTATAGTACAGGTTTGGTTTTTATATTCTTTTTATGTTAGTTCTTTATCAAGTTACTTAGTTGACGTCGTATTCTTCACCTTTGTTGTTGCCATTTCTTTGTTCTTCATTGTTTCTGAAGATAGTATTAAAGCGTCGAGTTGGTAATGATGTAATCATTCTTTGTTGGATGTTTATTTGGTGTTTATTGATATCTATAAGAACAGCTTCGGCAATTTTTAGATGTACTGTGTTGGAGTTGTGATAAAATATTTTTGTGTTGCATAAAATTTAGCGGGTGATTGTGAAATTTGTAAAAAAAATTTTAGCAAGGAAAATTCAAAAGACAAATTTTAAATTCAAATGTAATGCAAGAAAATCTTGTCTAGATTTTTTTGCTATTCCATACCGCTTTGAGGAAAGAATGTTTGAATAACCAAATTACGGTGAAATGGTTGTTTCGAGAATGGAACTTGAAGATCACTTCGCACCAACCTACCAATATATATATATATATATATATATATATATATATATATATATATATATATATATATATATAAACGTCGTAGATCTTTTTTGATTTTGTTGGCACTTAAAACAAGTGCTTTCTTTTTATTGAGTTAACGAGGCGTTAACCAGTTAACCAGACCAATGGCTAAGACGAATTTTGTATAATTGACATCTTTCGAGTGCCATGAAAAAATGAAAAATGAGCAATGAAAAACTCATCCTCATCAGCAATAAAGCCATTGTTGAAATCCTCCAAGTAGTAGAGTAGAGGACCATGCTTTCCATCCTGGTGGAGAGATTTCAATTTGTCACCAAAACTTTTTTGTTTAACCTGTTTTTTCCTTATTTTTCTTGGAAGATTCAACAAGTTTAATGCAAGGATAAATATTCGCATCAGCTTTAATATCAGCCTCACTGATATAAAATACCGTGTTGTTTTGTAATCATTATGGCTATTATTGTTACATTTATTGTTTCTGTTTGAATGCCAAATTCTGGAATATTTTCAAAACCTTTATCGTCGTCTTAGTCATTTTTCTACCACGTATTTCACAGACTTCATTAGAAAGACTTGCGATTGCTAATGTAATTGTAGATAGTTGAATGCATAGAATAATAACTGATAGAAATTGTAATAATCAGGCAAAAATTCAAAAAAATAGACAATTTAATGTTTGCTAACATTAACATTTGGCCCTCTCCAAGCAATCAGAACAATTCCTTCATCTTCTTCATCGCTTGGAAATGCAATTTCTTTGACGATAGAATCGACTAAAACAGGAACTGAAGATTGCCATGGACGTTTGAAATCATTATTTAGCAACTACAGTGTAAACATTATAAAATCAAAACAAAGTTTAAACATTAAAATCAGATATATTTATAAGTAATTTTTCCAAAAAACAAGTACAAATACTCAGGCTTCAAGTACAAGTTAAAGTACACGTACCGAAAAAAATTTTCGAGTACGAGAACCTAGCACTAAAGTACGAGTACTTTTATCTCAAATGCAAAATACAAAAAAAGAGAACTCTAAACAACAAAATATACATAAATAACTCAAGAATATTGTTACTAGGAATGCACCGGATTTACAAAAACAAATCGGATCAGAGCTGTAAATTTGTGGACAGTGGAATATGTTATAATTTGTGACTGGGGCTTACAGTTTGTTTCAAATCCAGCTTAAAACCTTGTAGCAATGAAAAATTCATCCCCATTTCTATCAATAAATTAACTTGAATTTAATAAAAATTAATTAATTTTCGTATATATTTTCGCACACGTGAAAATAAACATACATTAAAACTTGAGCAATTTTTCCACACTTCACGGCAAAGTTGTAGTAACGTTTGGATACCTGCAGTACCAGATGCTTTGATAATGTCATTTGTAGTCTCCAGAGGGCCCAGCTGCCTTTCAGAGCTTTTATAGCTTTCAGAGCTTCTGTTAGCTCCTCTACAGTGATGTCTGGGATCAGACCTTCGATGGGTGGAGCGTCAAATGGAATGGAATTTGTTTCATTTAACAAACGGTAGAAGTATTCTCTCCACTGTAGCTTGTTCAAGAACCATCTCATTTTTGTCGTTTTTGATATACGAGGCACCAACTATGTCTTTTTTCGTACGCTTTGGTTGTTTTGCTATACGATACAGACATTTCATTTGTTCGCCTTTGCTTTTAGTGAGCCACTCTCTGCATTGATTTGTCCGAGCTAGTGCGACTTGACGTCTTGCATAGTTGTTCTTCTCACGGAAAATTTTATGGTCACCAACAGACTTTGATTTTTGCCATTGCTTTCTTTTCAGCTATTGCATTTTGTACACTGTCATTCCACCACCAAGTGTCCCGTTCATGCTGGCGTTTTGTACCAGTTTTCTCACAAACTGTAGTTGCAGCGTTTATCAAAACGGTTTTGTATGTACTCCAATCTGTACTGGCTTGCGATTGGTGGTCTAACTGTGTTGCGACAATCTGTTGAAAATTTTCTCGATGAATATTGCTTTCAGCTTCCACGATTTGATTCTCTGAGGCATTTGTTCAGACTTATGTTGTGACAGTTCGACAACCAGGTCTGCTACAAGGAGTCTATGTTGGGCGACACATGACAGCGAAGAAATCTATTTGCGTGGCTGATGGTCCACTTTTGTATGTAATAAATGCTCCAACCTCTTTCTAAAATATGTGTTCAGTAAACAAAACCCGTGATTTTCTACAAACTCAAAGATGCACGTTGTCAAAACCATCTGTTTTTTCTCCAACAAGGCCATTGAGATCGCCTCCAACCAGGATTGTTTTAGATTTTGGTATTGTTGAGATGGTGTCAGAGAACGCAGCTCAGTCACTTTTCATTTCTTCTGATTCGCCTGTCTGTGATGCGTAAGCAGAAAAAATAGTCATTGTTTGCTTTTCTAGGCGAAGCTTGATCCCCGTGAGACGTAAATTAATCCTTTTAATATCCAGCACTTCTTGGGCTAGCGGTTCTTTGATAAAAATTCCAACACCATTTTTGACCCTCTTTTAACCATTCCAGAATAGTTTGTATTTTTCTTTGTTGATATGACAGATATCATTCGATTTCCATCGGATCTCCTAAAGGCAGCAGATGTTAGTTCTTCTACGCTCGAGCATTTCTGCGATTTCCATGCTGCGGCCAGTCAGTGATCCAACATTAAGCATCCCAAGTATAAGTACCATAAAGTTGCCGTTCTGAAATTTTCATCAACATTCTTCGCTATTGCATACTTCCCAGGAATTCTTAGCACCCCTTGACCACTTAAGGCCTTGGTTTTATTTTTGATGGCATAGAATAATTTTTCGGAAATTTTTACATCCGGACACCCATCCTGACAACAACCAACCTTATAAGCGGTAGGCCTAGTGTCTTGCTCAAAAGCACGCAAGGCAGCGTGGATGCAGTTTTATGTCATGCCCAGGACACAAAAAACACTATTTCTAATCTCACATTTTAAAAAATATTTGATTACTGTAATTTGTTGTTGCAATATTTGTTTTGTTATTGAGTTTGATACTTCCAATATCTTCTATCTCTTTTAGTTCTTAAAGATGGAAATAGTTTCTCTACTGATTGTATGACGAAAAATTGACCATTTTCCGTTTCAATTAAGTACACATTTGTTGGCAAGTGAAAAAAGAGATAACTGGCTATGATAAGCTATGAGTTTCTTCACCCACAACTTACTCTGAAATTATTTACTACAATCAAATCTCGAAACAACAACATTAACACGTTCAATTCTCGACAATAACACAAATGTTCTTTACAAAACTCCGATTTTTTCACCTTAAAGATGGCCAAAGCCATATTAATAGAAATAAAAAATCCAAAATTAAATGTTCAGCTACATAGTATAACAGTACTTCCGACTCACAAACAGTTATCTAAACTAATTAATAATTTTCTCACCACCAATAACAACAATAACAACCACGTTACCACCACCACCAACAACCATGTTACTACCAACAACAATGTTAACCATGTTAGAGACGCCAACGATCATGACAACAACACCCACAATAATGTTAATAATTGCAGCAACAACACCAATACTAATGTTAACAACAACAACATCATCATTGTCAATAATAACAACAACAATAACAACAGCAACAACAACAACAGCAACAACAACAACAATAGTAATAATAATAAGAATAAAAACAATACAACAACAACACACGTTTAGACGGCATTTTCCCCGAGATCGGGGGTTGCCGTTTGGCTACCTATGATGAAACCTATGATAATACCCCTCGACGCCATCCAAATCTGTCACTCGCCTCAGTATCACGCAACCCCGCTTTCACCCTGTCCTTCTCCACCTGCTCTCTCCATTCCAATCGCGGACGACCCCTTCCTACCACTCCTTCAACCTCAAACTCCAACGTTTGGTGCATTATCCCAACCCTTTCATCCCTTCTCAACACATGTCCATACCACCGCAATCTCGATCTCCTTATCAATGTCACAATGTCCTCATTCAGTCCCATCATTGACATCAGCTCTACTACTCCTCCTATCCTTCACTTTAACCCCACACATCATCCTCACCATAGCTCTTTCAGCCCTCTGCAGTACACTTTCCTCCTCTCTCCTCAACACCCAAGTTTCACCACCATATACCATCGCTGCTCTCACACATGCTTTATATCTCAAATAACAACCCCTCCATTATGTTTCCACACACAACATCCATCACAATTGCAAACAGAAACGGTGATAACACTGATCCTTGATGCACTCCTACCTTAACACTAAAAGCGTCCGACATCCCCCTTCCAACCCTCACCTTTGTCTTTGCCCCTTCATACAGCTGCATCACAGCTTTAACAAGTCTCTCATTCACTCCTTTCTTCCTCAACGCCCATTCAATGACCTTCCTTGGTACTCGATCAAAAGCCTTTTCTAGATCCACAAAACACATGTACAATCTTCGTTTCTTCTTTCTATAATTCTCCTGCAACATTCTCACCATGAACAACGCATCCACCGTTCCCCTACCAGGCATAAACCCACACTGCATTTCATTAACTGTCACCATACTTCTCAATCTCCTCTCAAGCACCCGTTCACTACCTTCATTCCGTGCTCTAGTAATTTCACACCCCTATATGACCCACAATCTCTCACATCTCCTTTGCCCTTATACAACGGCACCAACACACTGTGTCGCCAATCCTCAGGTATACCTTCATCATCAAACATACTGTTAGCAATTCTCATCATAACTTCAATTCCTATCACCCCACTCGCTTTTATATGTTCTGCCGCCACTTCCGAAACCCCTGTCGCCTTACCTAGTTTCATTTCTCTAACTGCTTTCTCTACTTCCTCCATCGTCACCTTCTCTATAGGTCCGTGTGTGACCGCGGATTCCACATCTCCATCCCACTCATTCTCTTCATTCATCAACCTTTCCATATGAGCTTTCCACAACTGAGCTTTTTCCTCCACATCTATGCACAACTTGCCAGATCCATCCCAAACACATCCATTCCCTATAACATCTTTCCTATACCTCATTGACTGCTTTGCTACTTTGAACATTTTCCTCGAACTCACATCAAATTCCATTTCCTTCATTAACCTATCTGATGCTTTCGTCATTGCAGTTGCCACTGCCTGTTTTGCAACCTTCTTAGCCTTCCTATACTCAGACTCCGCTTCCTCCGTCATGTCCCTTCTCCATACCTTAAACCTCTCCTTCTTGACTTCCAAAACCCTTCTTATATCTTCATCCCACCACCACGTCTCACCATGCCTACACTTTCCTTTCGTCCATCCACATACTTTATCTGCCGTAGCCAACACACAGTCCCTGTATCTCTCCCAAACATCTCCATCCTTACCACTCTCCCAATTTTCAGCCACCTTCACTTCAAATGCCTTCCTCACCTCTGCATCCTGCAACTTCCATGTCTTTCTCTTTGCCACAAACTTATCCTTTTTCCTCCTCCCCATTTCTTTTGACATCACAACCATACTATGCTGCAACATACCAGGTATCGTCTTCACATTCTTCACATTCTTCCTGTTTGGCCCTTACCAATATATAGTCTATCATCGATCTATGTTCCCCTGACCTATAAGTAATCAATCGCGCTGGTTCCCTTGTGAACCAAGTATTCCCCACCACCATGCTATGTGCATCCGCCAACTCCAACACTCTACGCTCTCATTCCGTATACCATATCCCCATCCCCCATGTACACCTTCATATCCGTCTGCATCCGCCCCCACATGACCATTCAAATCATTCAACAACACCACAAACTCATTCAACCCCGCTTGCCCAATCTCGTCAGAAAAATCATCATAAAACCTATCCTTCTCCTCTTCCTTCCTACTTTGTTGCGGAGCATATCCTGATATCACCCTCACTATTACTATTATAATAATAATAACAATAATAATAATAAAAACTTGGAAACATGAATATTGTAGTATGATTTTTGCTTTTTATTTTGTTATTTACTTTATGGTCGTTTTTTTCAGCAATTTTTAAAATTTTAATTTTAATCTATTTTGTTTAATTCTAATATATATCTATGTAAATAATTTAAAGTTAATTTTATTAATATGTTAAATATATAGTATATAAATAATTAATAATAATATTTTCAAAAATGTTTCGCGCTTAAAATTAAGTTATGCTGTATGACGTCATTTGTTTATAAACGGTAATTTTCGTTATTATTTAAAAATATATTTTATATCGAAAAAGCTTTTAGCAATTATTTATATTAATAAACATGAACAATAATAACTTTAGTTTTTTACTTAGTAAATTAAACAATGATAATAAAATTTTAATAGGAAAACTTGAAAAATTAATGTATAAACATATTAATTGTATTAATACAATTATTACGTATATATATATATATATATATATATATATATATATATATATATATATATATATATATATATTTGTTTATTTGTATTATCGGACTGTTACCAGAAAGTCCTGAAGATTACAAAAAAGCATTATTACGCATCGAATCATTAAAAAGATATCTCAAAACGTATCCAACGAAAGCAGAAAATGCTCAAAATATTGCAAAAAATTTGTTTGAATATATCCCACAATATTAGACCATTGCGAAAAGTTGCGAAGCAATCAATTCAGCAAAATTAACTTCTTTTGAAACAATATACAACAAAAAATTAAGTAAGTTATAAACAAAACTATTCGATAACGATGAAAAAGAAAAGCTTTTAAAAAATGATCTATTACCATCCTTAATAAACGATTACTACCTTAGTAAACACACAATAATAACATCTGTGTTTAATTTATAAAAACGGTAAAAAATATTCAATTTATTCTAAATGAAATTAAATGATTAATTACTTTGGAAAAAATGACATTCTCGTACTCAACAATTTTGTTGAATAACTGGTCCATATTAACCATGCCCTGGATTATAATACAAAGATTCTCTGGACGATACATGCTTGCATGATAGGCACGCACCTGTTGTTTTAACAAATTAAATATAATAGAGTGAAAATAATACTTTAAAAATTGAGTTTAAAACGAAAAAAATATAAAAAAATGGAAGTTGGAAAAATTTAATGTATTTTTCGGCAATATTTAAGTCATAAGCGTAAGTTTAAACATTATTTTCAAACATGATACTCAAATGTATAAATAAACAAGTTTGACAACAATAAAACAGCTGCTCGATAGCTTTTAATTTCATCAACAACCAAACTAACTTACTTTTGCTATTGCAAAAAGTAAGTTTGCTATCCTGTTCAATAAAAGAACAACAGCAACATCTAATCGATAACATCTAGTCAAACAATTTAACCATTTATGTTTACCAGAGAACATAAACCGACAATGGTGCAATGGTTAAGGTGTCAGATTCTGGTGTTCTATAGAGTTTTAAGGTAGTCTTAGGTCAAAAGCAAAATTTTGTTTTTGTTATTTCTTCATACTCCATGTTTTGGTTTGTATAAATCACTACTGAAAACACAATTT